TATATATATATATATATATATATATATATATATATATCTTTCATTGTAATTGTTTTTTATACGGATTATAAAAAGTTAACCGATCTAATTCGAACCGACCTATCCAATTAGAAATGGCCAAGTATAATTGGATGTCTAATTGTAGTTTGATCGAATCATATCGAAAATTCCAACATTCAATTTGGATCGATTGGTTCTTTGATGGCAGTCTAAAACCGACGGAACTGACCAACATCCAATTACCCATCCAACTATCGTCCAATTAATATTATTTTTTTTTCATTTTGATCATATATTGAAACTTTTTGTGTTTGTTTTTTGATTCTTAGTCTCTCTTGTGTTGGTCTAAACACATAGTAAGGGGACGTTTAACTAGTGAGCGTTTACCGATAAAATTTAACACTATCACTTACTTACCGGGTAAAATTTTAGTCCACCAAAACGACATCATATGCAACAATTTACCCGGTAAATAATAACCATGGTAAGAGTTGTCGCCTTCACTTGCCGGATAAGACTCTCGGTTCTTGTCTTCGCTCTTAACGGGTAAGATTATTGGTCATTTCCATATTCATCCAGTAAGGCAATGTGACTTGATAAAAACTTACCCATATAAGTGTTTAGTAAACGGCCCCCTAAAAGTGATTAATCAATTTGTTTCATTTGTGGAAAAACTGGATTAAATTAACACATTTGATGGACCCGATCCGACATGATCATCCATTGGACGTCGGATGGATCAAATCTTATCCAATAAATATTCAATAAGAATATCTTATGGATATCCAGTTGATGGGACCAAACCGATCCACTCGTCAATTAGATTGGACCAGTTGTCCAATGTTAATCAAATTATATCGTTTGACAAAATCCAGCATCCAGTCGATGGTTGGATCGGTTCGGTTCGGTTCCCCTCACATTCAATAGATATCAACCATGAATATACCAATTTTTTTGAAAGTTCTTTAAATATGAAGAACCTAACACTTTCTCTCGTAGTTTTTCTATTTTGGAAAAGGGTTTTAGAGAATTATTTAAGCAAATAACTCTAACAAACTTGTAAATTATATGTTTTTTAAACTAATGTTTATTTGTTAAATAATATTACTAAATTATTTATTTGACAACAATCGCTTGAAACGTAACAAATTGTAAATCAACATGATGTTGTTTCAGATTTGAATAAACTCTATTGGAATTGGTGTTGGAAAACGTATGTGTAATAATTATTAGAGGATAATATTTGGTATGGTAATTTTTTGAAGTTTTATGAATTATGTAGAGAAGGTATATCCTATAAAACTACAAGGGGGCGTTTGATTTGCAAAATTTGATGAAATTGAAATGACAAATTCATTTGACCAATTTTCAATTCATTTTATTTGGTTCATTTCTTAAAATGGATATAATCCGTCAATTGCCATTCACCCCACCCCAACCCTAACCTACCACTAACCATCATGCCACTACTATCGTTGTCATACCCACACACTCCCGATCACCATCTCACCACTGTCGTCGTCAAAGCTACCACCCCACCACGCTCCTAACCTACCCCATCCCCACACCACTGTTCTCGCCTTCACAATCGCACCCCCTACCACTAAACAACATGGCACTATTGTTGTTGTCATACACACCCATTCTCAGTCCTCATCCACCCAACCACTATCCCACCACTATCATTGTCACAACTACCACTTTGCCACCTACCCACCCCACCGTCTTGCCCTACCTTACTCTAACCCACCACTAACCAGCATCCTACTACTGTAGTCGTCACAACTACCACCTTGCCACCACTACCTCACTCTAGCCCCATCCAACCACCCTCGCCCCACCATGTCTGCCCCCTAACACGCCTACATATGGAACAGGGTGGGGTAGGGTATGGTAGGGGTGGGGTGGGGTGATGGGTGCGATAGTCCAACCAAAGACGATTGTTTCAATTCTTTTGAGAAAATCAATTCCAATTCCTACCAACCAAACGCTCGATCAAATTTCATTCCAATTCACTAAAAGTAAAATTCATTTGACGGATTACAAATCCATCAAATTCCATTATGTGAACCAAACATCCATTTGGTAATTAAAAATAATAATACTTGGAATACATTTCAAAGGGTTATTGTAAAGTCAAATATGTTTTAAAATGTACAAAGATTGTTTTTAACCCATTTTTTACTTGTGAAATCAAGTATTCAAGAATTTAAAGGTTTAGAAACATTTAAAATATATAAATTCAACCACTTTCATATGTATATTTAGTCATTCTGTCATTACCTGTCTCTTCATATCTTTTTTGTCACATGCATACGTCTATTAAGATCTCACCCATTCTTATACAAGTAAGCACATAAATGTAAATGAATTTGGACGGGGGTAAGTGAATATGAGTGAACGTATGTGAAGGCATGTAAAAATGTGTGTTCGAACGTGAAACATCGTAATTTATACAGTTACATATGCAAGTATGTATACAACCCATAAACCAAAGACATATAACATAAGAATAATCATTACCCAACTTTATGCGTACATGAACACCTTCGATAATATACTCACTTGTGCATGGAAATCCATGACCTAAGAACAGATGAACATGGCAAGAGCTAGACAACGGTTGACCATGAAGATGATTTAAAGGCAAATGACATTGATTACGTACATGGATACCATCGTTTATTTGTGGTTCAACAATAACGTCTCATTGGTCATTGATTATTTCTAGTCCCATACATATACATATATATATATATATACATATACATATATATATAACTTTCTAAAGGTTGGTAAATAATAAAAAGAGTAAGGGGTCGTTTACCAAACACTTTTCCTGATAAACACTTATTTATCAAGTAACATTATCTTACTGGATGAATATGGTAATGACCAACAATTTTACTTGATAAGAGCGAAGGCAAAGACGAGAGTCTTACCCACTACCCAGTAAGTGAGGCGAGAACTTTTACCATGGTTAGCGTTTATCGGGTAAATTGTTGCATATGACAACGTTTTGGTGGATTAAAATCTTACACGGTAAGTAAGTAATAGTGTTAAATTTTACAATTCAATGCTTACCCGAATAAGTATTTGGTAAACGGTTCATAAATCATGATTTTCATCCAAGTGGTTTGTTAAAAACTATGATTTTCGTCTATGTGGTTTATAGAACATTCGTATATATGTTTTGGATTTATTGTTATTTTCATCTTTATGATATACAATTTATTATTGTTTCGGTCCTTGTACTTTACAACTTTCTATCATTTTGGTCCCTGTACTTCAAGGTATGAATTAACCTAGGGACGAATTTTCTTTTGACTAACCTGAATATCCAACCCGCTATGCGAGCTGACCAATTCCAAGGCGACCACCTGCTTTGCAGATAGCTCGGAGTCACCGCATTTGAGCCTCCGTGGCCACAAATGAATTTTTAGCCACAAAGGTTCAAATGAGATGACCGGACTATCTACAAAGCAGGTGATCGTCCTGGAATTAGTCGGCTCATATAGCGGGTTGGATATCCAGGTTACTAAAAAAAATTACAAAGAAAGGTGACAAACCTTTTTCCAAGGGTCTAGTAGATGTTTGTATGGTTTAGACTCTTGAAGGAGTAAAAGTGTAATTCTTTAAAAATAAAGGGGTGCAAGTGTAATAAGTCCCCAGAACTTATAAACCCCCAAAAATGGCTTTGGTTAGCAACGCAGCAAATATCTTACAAGCACACGGACGGACTGTAGACAAACCTCATCCCCATGGGTTCCCTCCCTGGGCCGGCGGTGAACCCTTTCCCGTCGGAGTTTAATCGGTTGCCGGAGTCTAAAGCGCACACAGGATCAATGAATGTTAGTCACGGGAGGGAAGGACCTTTGTCAATCGACGATGAAAGCATGAGGAGAGAGAGGAAAGAGCAATCGAATAAGAAAATTGCGTCGCAAAAGGCAATCTCGGTAATACTAAGAAGAGAAGCGACGATGGCTGTGATTGAGAAGAAAAAAGGATCCACAAGGCTTTTTCCGGGAACTGTACTTGAAGCGCTTCACGAACGTATCGCTGCTTTGCGTTGGGAGTCTGCTCTTAAGGTTCTTATTCACTTAGTTCTCAATTTCGTTATTATTTTAATACTGTTTGTCTTAATTGAACTCAAGTTCATATAAATAGGGATAATAAGGCATTTTTGTATCTTAAGGTTGTATAAGTTGATGATAGTAGGAATTTATGCCTCTCTATTCTCTAATAGTTGAACTTGAACAGGATGGGTATTTGAAAAGAGATTTTATTAGTACAGTCTATTTTGCTTTGTAAAGCCAACAAGCTATCACCAAGTTGGATGGAACGGTAAGATTGTGGAGGTTTTAGGGTTTTAATTAAGTATAGATAGTTTAGTTATCTACCAATCTGGTTCCGTCTCCCTAATTTTGTTCCACCTTAATAAGTGGAATCCACAAATTACTCTCTAAAAAAGCCATTGAGGAGAGGAGGGATTCCAACATATATAAAGGTGAAATGATCCAAGTTTAGCCGATGTGGTAGAGAAGGAAAGTTTTGACATATTCAGAGGAGAAATGGTCCAAGTTTAGCAGATGTCGGACTCCAACATTCCCCCTCCATTAAAGGCTAGACGGACACAAAGATTGTCCCAAACTGTCAAATGGGGGCTAGATGAGTAAACCAGTGAGTAGGCCAGATGCATATAGAGTACTCAAGAGTGTCGAGTCCTTAGAATGGTAGACCTTGGCTCTCCATGTGAGAATATGTGGACCCCCCATATTAGGGGGTGTTTGGGATTGCTTATTTAGGTGCTTTTTGACTTATTTCAGTCTGACACCAATGATAAGCTAAATGCTAGTGTTTGGATGAAGAAAAATAAGACTGCTTATACCGGTGCCAAACTGGTAATAAGCAGTTTTTGATAAGTTAATCTTTCCTGACTTATGAAAAACTGCTTATTACCAGTTTACCATTTTAACCCTGTTTTATTAATGTTTGTTAATTGTTAATCTTATTGATACAAATTTTTGTCAAATATATTATTATAAATGATGAAAAATAAATTTTTACATGTTAAAAAATCAAATAAGTCAATAATATAGAAGACCGCCTTTTTTGGTCATTTTACATGTATAAGCAAAATTTGCCAAACACTAAAAAACAACTTATCAGCTTATTGCTTTTTGGTACCGCTATAAGCTAATCCAAACACTTTTTACAAAACTTCGGTTTGATACCACATAAGTTAATAAGCACTTTTACAAAAAAACATAAGTTGTTCTAAATAAGCAATCCCAAACACTCCCTTAATCTACAAAACAACACTTCAAGAGAGAAGGGGATTTCATCGTATAAAGAAGTGAAATGATCCAAGTCTAGCCGATGTGAAACTCTAACACACCTTTTTTGGTGGGACAAAACAAGTGCAGTTTTGTCCAACTGAGTCTTATCAACATGCGACAACAAGTTTCTATCATGTCATGTCCTTTCCCGCTTAGCAAACACACCACAAGGGAACGGGTATATTCAAATTGTATTTTATAGACAATCCAACTCATGGATTGAAAAACGGGAATAGGTTTGGAAAGGGGTAAAAAGTTGATGCTGTTGATGCATGATTACCTAAACTAGCAAATGCATTTATAAAAGGTTGTTGAATAGAGGTGGTTTTAACTGCTTGTCATTACTACATTCTCTTCACTTATGATTTATTCAGATCTATCAAGGCACTACATGTTAGACGACATAAAGGGCGATGAACATGGCAACTCATGCATACCATTTTTCTTTATGGTGATCGGAAATTAGAGGTCAAAGAAGAAGAAATACAACACCATTAGTTTAGGTACTTAATTAGAGGCACTGGTCATGACTTTTTGCAGAACACGAAACTAACTGTAATGCGAGTTATTTTGATGATTTGAAGACTAGCAACGAATGCTTTGCCCATGACCTTTTTATAGGATGTGACGTATTGTTAACGGGAGTTTGACCTAGGTTTCCCATTCTTTGTTGTCATAGGTTTGCCATTCCTTGTTCTCATAGGTTCTCTTAGCTTACTTTCACGTCCCAAATAGCTCACTAATTTCTTGCATCTCATCACTGCAATTGGCTACACCCAATATACCATTAGGGTTGGGTTCTGGTGAGAAAGAGAGTTAAGGTGATAATTTTAAGAAGAGATCTCCACCCTTGGATGCACATTAGGATGAGATGCACTGGATCAATCTTTGTATCAAGCGCAATTCATGGGTGGATTTGAGATTCAAGGTGATCAAGGATTCAAATCTCTTCTTACGCTTCTCACCTTAACTCTTCTTCTCACACGATCCTTCGCCTATACCATTATACCTGGTTTCTTATTGGTTCCGTTACAACCTCTATGGTATCAAAAAGCTTGCCATATTCTGTAAGGTAGGAATTGTTTGAGAACCTTATAGATATAACACATGGTAAAATATACTCAAAATTGTTCATGAAAAAATATGTGGTGATGACCGATGGTAGCACGACATCAAGGCTATGCTTGGCAAACTAGTTGATAAGCTAGCTGTTAGATGAGAAACTAGTTACGTTTCATAAAATACAAAATGACCTAAAAATGTTGAAAAAATTAATTGGAAAAATACAGGGGGATAATTGGAAAAAAGTGAAAAAGCTGTGGGAGCTTATTGAAAAGCTATGAAAAGTAGCAATTTTCAAAAAGCTATCTTACGGCTTACTGAATGAGACTTTTTCAATAAGCTCAAAAAATAAGCTAGCTTATGGTTGCCAAACATAGCCTATGTCTATAAGATTGTTGTCATTGTTTCGGTACTTTTTGCAATATACACCCATATCTCTATGGAGGTTTGAACTTACAACCTAAGGATTGTAGAGTTAGCTTTGCACCATCGGATTAAAGGTCTCCTGGTCTTTTTTACAATTTATAGGAGCAACTTATATATGCGTGTGTGTGTGTGTTTTTATTGTCAATACATGAAGCAGTTCAGCAAATTGCTTGTTGTTTTCAGGTTTTTGAACTACTCCGTGAGCAGCTTTGGTACAGGCCTAACTCTGCTATATACGTAAAGCTAATTGTCATGCTTGGAAAATGTAAGCAACCTGAGAAAGCACAGTCCTTGTTTCAGGCCATGATTGATGAAGGTTGTATTGTGAACCAAGAGTCGTACACTGCTCTTCTCTCTGCTTACAGTCGAAGTGGCATGTTTCAAAAAGCATTTTCATTACTAGAAGAGATGAGGAACACTCCTAATTGCCACCCTGATGTATATACCTATTCAATCCTCATAAAATCATGCCTTCATTTTCATGAATTCGACAAAGTGCAATCTCTACTTTCTGAGATGGTCTCACAAGGAGTCAAGCCCAATACGGTTACTTATAATACCCTTATCGATGCATATGGGAAAGCAAAAAGGTAATCTTTCTACAAATAAATACTCCGTCCCAAAATGTCCACTTTTAAAAGTTAGTGCATACTTTCCAATTCTACCCTTAATTATGAGATGAAGAAATTTAGTGCCCTCTCTATTGTTAAGGGTAAAATTGTTATTTAGTTAATTACGGTCAGGTTTAGGGAAAACGGCAAAAAAATGAAAAACTAAGGAACACCATAGTAATTGTTCACTTGGACGGTATGCACATGTGCATACAAGTAATTTGTGAGCAGTTTGTCTGCTATGCACACGTGCATAAAAACCAAGAAACAACTTCGATTACTTGTATGCGACATGTGCATACTGTCCAGATGAATAGTTACTAGAGTGTTCTTTTCTTTATTTTGGGGGTTTCCCTTGAATAGGTCCTAACCTCCCTCTAGTTAATAATTAAAAGTGTAATAATTACACATTTCTAAAATTGTCTTTTTCACTGTAGACGTTTATTTTGGGACGGAGGAAGTAATCATTAAGGAGTGTTGATGAGTAGAACTAACATATGAATGTTCTTACTTTTTAACTTTGCTAAAAGATTTGTGGACATGGAATCGACACTTGTGGAAATGCTCCGCCAAAGGGAATGTAAGCCTGATGTATGGACCATGAATTCGACACTAAGAGCATTTGGTGGCAGTGGGCAGATAGAAACAATGGAAAAGTGCTACGAGAAGTTTCTTAGTGCTGGAATTCAACCTAATATCAAGACCTTCAATATTCTCTTGGATTCCTATGGGAAAACCGGAAATTATAAGAAAATGAGTGCTGTCATGGAATACATGCAGAAATACCATTTCTCGTGGTCACTTGTGACTTATAATATTGTCATAGATGCATTTGGACGAGCTGGGGATCTGAACCAGATGGAATTTTTGTTTAGGCTAATGCAATCCGAGAGCATAAAACCGAACTGTGTGACACTTTGTTCGCTCATAAGGGGTTATGCACAAGCTGGCAAAGTGGAAAAAATCAGGGGTCTTTTGCGATACATTGAGAGTTCAGATGTGACAGTTGACACCGTGTTTTTTAACTGCTTGGTGGATGCTTATGGTATGATGGGATGCTTGGCGGAAATGAAGGAGGTGCTGCCGATGATGGAAAGTAAAGGATGTCAACCCGATAAGATCACATATAGAACCATGATCAAAGCTTACAACATGAATGGAATGAGTAACCATGTGAAGGAGCTTCGACATGCACTTTCTTCTGTTGGAAAACCAGAATCCAGACGATAAACTTTCGAGGTAAACTATACCACCCTGCAAACATATGATCTATTTCTTTTTCCATATGTGTTGTCAGGGACGGACCTAGTGTATTGGATACGGTGGCACAGGCCACTGCTTTGTTCCTCTGTCGTGGTGTAAAAAATTATGGGGTCGTGAAAAGTGCTACCGTATCCATTTTGTTGTGTGCCACCATATATATTTTGAAACTACAATAAGAACACAAGTTTCCCTTTGTAGAGTTGGTTTGCAAAGATTTTCTTCCACCCCTGACTCAAGTTTAAATTCCTTTAGTGTCCTTTTTTTAGCTTTAATTTCAGATTTATTTTGTTTATGAAAAAAATTTGCAATAAAAGATTTGAACACATGACCTAGCATATGAAAAACAATGAACTAACCAACAAACCAATAATGATTTTGTGAAAAATATCCCTATATTTGTTGTTTATAGTCAAATGGTCACTACTTGAAAAAAATTCTTAGCTCTGTCTCTGTGTATTGCAAACGTTTTTAGAAAGATTTCTTGTTAAAGCAACCTAATTGCTCACTATCATCCTTACAAACAAAATTGGCACAAGTAGGGTATTTTAGATATTTGACTCATAGTTAAGCTATTTTTGAACCATATGCCAAGCTAAACTTTCTGAGGATATGACATGTGATAGGAGTTCTTAGAGACGCAGGACTAGGGTAGCAGACTAGGAGTTGGGATATGTAGCTAGCTTAGTCGAGAAGAAAGAATTTGAAGAGGCAGCGAGGTAGGGTTAGTGAGCCGACAATTAGGGTGTGTAGGTATTCGTATATTTGTTATGTCTTTTTTGCATTTGTTCTGTTTGTATGTTTCATTGTTGTTGCTTACTTTTAACACATTCTTAAATTTTAGTACTTGTTTTCAAGTTCTTCGTTATCATTTTTTCATCTCACACATTTTGCACAAGTCGGGGGTCTTCATGGAAATAGCCGCTCTGCTCTTTTGGGTAGAGGTCAGGTTTGCGTACATCCCCTCTTCCCTGACCCACCTCCAGGTGGGTTACAATGGGCTTGTTTGGTTTGATTTTATGCCTAGCTAAACTTTGAGATTTTCATTGGATGGAAGGACGATGTATCTTTCCTCTTGATGAGTTATTCTGCCAACCAAATGGCCTATGCTTGATTAGGGGTGTATTTGAGCCAAGTCAAGGCAAGGTAGGCTAGGCCTATGCTTGTGGCTCTCAAAGCTCGGAAAATTGAAGCTTGAGCCTTGTGGCTCTTAAGGTTCACGAAAACACTTGAGCCTTGGTTCCTTTCAGCTCATACTCATGTAAGCTTGTATAAAATTGATACATCAAGTAGCTCTATGGGCTTGTATAAGCTCATATGGCCATAGTAGATGCTTTGCTTGCTGAGCTGCTAGTCTAAATGAGCCAAAGGGGTTGTTTGATTGGTTTTCCATCAAGTCCTGAATGGATAAAGTTGTCTGTGTGGGTTATTCACTTATTCTATCTGTATAGATTGGAAGAGGCGTGTTTTTAATTGGGAGGGGCATGTTTGAAAAAACTTGACTTTCTGCATAAAGCTCTCCCCTAAAAGCTTATTGTATAAGCCATTTTCTATATCATTAAGCCACCACCAAATGATCATATATAGATGTTCCAATAAGTTGCAAGTCCCATTAAGCTGCGAACAAGCAAGTCCGACACCATACTGGGCTTAAGCTTGGCATAGATCCTCAAGACGAGTCGTCTCTGATTAGGCTTGCCACATCACGTGTTCGGCCTTGCCAATCTTTTCCTTTCGCATTGTAAGTTCACAGTATGCTTATCTTTCTTTATTCTCGAGTCTGCATACATCTCACCTTTCCTATACTCCGATTTCAAGCATGATATATTGGGTTTGTTTGATTTTCAGAGCTTGTATGCATATCTTTCTCGTATGATGAGAAGGGTAATACATAAATTAGGGGTATGGATCTTACCATTAACCGGATGCTATCCCTCCTTCAAATTGTAGCATTTATTTTGGGACGAAAAAAGTACCGCCCCAAAAG